AAAGGATTTTGAAAACATTTTTTGAAAAGCCGATGCGTGCTTCCGCCAGAAGTTCGCGTCGCGAAAATTCAATCGTGTCCCGGGTTGACGTGGAAAAATTAATAAAATAGCTTTTATGTTCCTCTCGCTAGAAAAAAAAATTGATCGACAGAAAAAGGGTGGATGAAAAAAGGTATTATCTGTTTGACGTCACTGACGTGTCTGCATGTGTCGACTGTCGAGTGCTGGAGGAGAGAAGGGCTTGCCAGATAGCAGGACTGCTGTGCTGTGAACACGTGCTGTTCAAAGACACGTCGTTTTCCTGTCTGTCCAATTTGTTTTAACTTTTTATGTGTTTTTTTTAGGGCGTTAGAGTGAATGGGATGAAACGGGTTGTTATCTGAAGCATGTAAACACTTCAGTGTAGGAGGATTGAGTGTTTTTTGTGGGTCCATGAAGGTTTTTTCCTTCATCAAGTTTGTCCTCAATTCATGATTGTAATCAATTATTTATTCTCTTTCATACTTTGAAAGAAGACACTGCAGTGTAGGAGGATTGAGTGTTTTTTGTGGGTCCTTACAGGTTTTTTCCTTCATTAAGTATGTCATCAATGCATGATTGTAATCAATTATTTATTCTTTTTTATACTTTGAAAGAAAACATTCTCACTTGAAACTGCAGTATAGAAGAAGAGTGTGTGAAATTTATCTCAAATAAATTGTATTTCCATTTTTAACTGCTGATCCTTCTTTTCATCAGGACTGAAGTGGTTTACAAAAACAAGACAAGCTCTGAGAAAGTTGACAGTGAACACATACAGAAATGTTTCAATCAATCTTTGTATATGGATAAAATTTATATGCACTCCCAATTTTTCTTCCAGATATTTGAAAAAAAAGATGTACATGTTATTCAATTGAATATAGTAAAGCATTTGTCAAATCCTGGCAAAGATGTAGATCTTCTGAAAAGTCTCATGCTTTTATGGCAGTGAAACTTTCTGATTTCCCCAAATAATTTTATTTTATTCCAGAAATTCAATCTGAATTCTATCACACCCAGGTTTTGTTTATTTGACCAGTTTACACCATTTTGAAGCAGAGTAAAGTTTTCCAGCAAAGTAAAGTAACCCATTTTACCAGTCATATAGTAAAAATTTTCAAATACTGGAAAAACATTACTGTCTTCGAGAAGCAGAGTCAGGATCATTTGTCAATTTAATGTCTGAATTTGGTCCAATTAAGTTTTAAATCCAATAATTCAATTTTTAAACTGAGAAAGGTGGAGCAAAATTCAATATGGTAATGGAAGCATAATAAATTTTAAAAAAAGTATCCATTTGCCCCAAAGTGAAAAAGTTTGGTATAATATGATTTTTAGCCTTTCTGCCACTGAAGAAAAAAGTTTCAATGACAGGAAGAGCATTTGCCCTCCTACACTGTCACCACAATATCCGGTTCGTTGAGCGAGGTCACGTCACTAGTTTGACATACGTGCTGAGAAGTCTTTTTCACCCGTGATTGATTGAGATACTGCTCAAGAGGTTCCTCGTGATTCGCGGATCGACAGTCGACGTGTTGTTTCAGTCTATGCAAAAAAAAATATATATCTATAAATATACTCGTTTATATTTCGAAATGAAAAAAAGTACAGATTATTTGAAAGAAAAGAGAAAATTCTCGGTGCGTGACGAGCTACATCCAAACGTGACTATGCGATTGGTATTTATCTCGAAGGTACGATTCGAATTTCACTCTGCTTCTTTTTTTTTTGTGTGTGTCTGATCATTCCGAAAATTTAGTCAATTTTTTGTTTTCGAGTAACAGACGACAGCGTTTAGAACTGGACGCAAAAATTAGATTTTGATTTTTTTTAATAAAATTTAAATAACATGCGGACTTTGCATTATGTCATGCATCTTTTAAAATCCAACTTCTTTGTATCGATTCGTTCATTTTCGACTTTTTTTCTTTGAATAAATATTTTCCGTGTTTTATTCCCAGAGATTCAAATTCAAGCTGAAGCTTTCGAAGGAATTTAAAATTTATCTGAAAAAAATCTGATTGAAATACGACAGTCAGTCACAGCCAAGAAAATTACAAAACGTTCTTTCGAAGGCTCAGAACTCCAAGACTTTGAACACTGAAAATTTGAGAAGTATTTTCAAAATTTTATGTATGATAGCTCAGACAAAATAAGAAAAATAAACTGCAGCTGGAATCTTATTCAGTGTTGGAACTTGTCAAAAATTTCGAGAATGTTTGCAAAAAATCGCCATGAAACCTTAAAAAAAATAAATAAATTTAATTTGGCAGATAGCAGACGAGGTGTTTAGAGGCGCGAGGAAGTAGGACAAGTTTCTTTTCAACTTCTCCAAGAAAACAAATCGAAATATTCCGCTCAACTTTTTCTAGTCCTTCTGAAAATTTTATATCGATCCCAAGCAATAATAAATTTTATAATTTGACTTTATTTTTCGAGAATCGACTGAACTTTCATGTGGTCATTTTTTTTTCTCGAAGAACTATCCCGAAATATATTTTTTTCCGTAATCTGTCAACGTTTTTACCTCATTCACCGCAAAGTTTTCTGTTTCAAATCCCCGTGCAATTTCCAAATAAATTCACAAATTTTAAAATACAACTGTTTTTTTCTTCTTCGAAGAATCTACTCATCTTTAATTTTGTCATTTTTTCAAATAAATGGCCCAGAACATTCTCGAAATATTTTTTTTCTCAAAATTGGTACACGTTTTTATTTTATCCATGGCGTCAGTCACCAAATCTTTTTTCCTTCTTGGAAATTTCAAAATCCAAGCCCGGCCTCTAAAAGCCAGTTACATTGCTCATAATTACAGTATTTAAATTACCTAGTCCTCTGTCTTGACCTTTGTGTCATGGAAAAAAAAATCCCAATCCATCCCCAACATCTGAATGCGAAGCTCAGTGATCATCAAGCGAAGCACGTTTGCGAGCCAGAGGGAACGGGGTTAATGGATTGATCCACCGTAGTACGTGGAACAATTCTTTCCGCCTAATTTCGGGCAGGAACACCCATAAACTATACTTCTATGAGGCCATGTGTACATCTTTCTCATGTTTATTAAAAATATAAGAGAAAGGAAAAAAAACGAGGACACGGAATATATTCCTAGTACCAGACCCCCGACGACGAAAACGACGACGAGGCGCCGTGAGAACCAGATCAATACAGAAGTAGGCATTACTCGTCATTCCGAGTGTCATTCGAAATATCAACGTAAAAATGATAAATTTACTGTCTTGTTGATGTCTTCCATCAGCAGAGACCTTCGATTCAATTTCTAGTGTCGAAAATACTGTAGAAAGTGCGACTTTCTTATTTCTTTCCGGAACGATCGCAGGCATGAAAACGTCGGACTGTTTCTCCCGGATTTTAGAAAAAATTCTGAATATTCGATAAAGGAAATTATAAATTTTTATCAGCCTCGAAAATTACGCTGACTAATTCACAGGGGATTCTTTTTTTTTCCAAGTGGAACAAGCAATCCCTTCCACCGACAGAAAAGGATTTTGAAAACATTTTTTGAAAAGTCGATGCGTGCTTCCGCCAGAAGTTCGCGTCGCGAAAATTCAATCGTGTCCCGGGTTGACGTGGAAAAATTAATAAAATAGCTTTTATGTTCCTCTCGCTAGAAAAAAAAATTGATCGACAGAAAAAGGGTGGATGAAAAAAGGTATTATCTGTTTGACGTCACTGACGTGTCTGCATGTGTCGACTGTCGAGTGCTGGAGGAGAGAAGGGCTTGCCAGATAGCAGGACTGTGCTGTGAACACGTGCTGTTCAAAGACACGTCGTTTTCCTGTCTGTCCAATTTGTTTTAACTTTTTATGTGTTTTTTTTAGGGTGTTGGGTTAAAGGGGATGAAACGGGTTGTTATCTGAAGCATGTAAACACTGCAGTGTAGGAGGATTGAGTGTTTTTTGTGGGTCCTTACAGGTTTTTTTTTTACTAAGTTTGTCATCAAATCATGATTTTAATCAATTATTTATTCTTTTTTATACTTTGAAAGAAAACATTTTCACTTGAAACTGCAGTATAGAAGAAGAGTGTGTGAATAGATCTCAAATAAATTGTATTTTAATTTTTAAATGCTGATCCTTCTTTTTATCAGGGCTGATGTGGTTTACAAAAACAAAAGAAGCTCTGAGAAAGTTGACAGTGAACACATACAGAAATGTTTCAATTAATGTTTGTATATGGATAAAAATTTTATGCACTCCCAATTTTTCTTCCTGATCTTTGAAAAAAAAGGTGTACATGTTATTTAATTGAATATAGTTAAGCATTTGTCAAATCCAGGAAAAGATGTAGATCTTCTGAAAAGTCTCATGCTTTTATGGCAGTGAAACTTTCTGATTTCCCCAAATAATTTTATTTTATTCCAGAAATTCAATCTGAATTCTATCACACCCAGGTTTTGTTTATTCAACCATTTTACACCATTTTGAAGCAGAGTGAAGTTTTCCAGCAAAGTAAAGTAACCCATTTTACCAGTCATATAGTAAAAATTTTCCAATACTGGAAAAACATTACTGTCTTGGAGAAGCAGAGTCTGGACCATTTGTCAATCTAATATATGAGTTTGGTCCAATTAAGTTTTAAATCCAATAATTCAATTTTCAAACTGAGAAAGGTGGAGAAAAATTCAATATGGTAATGGAAGCATAATAAATTTTAAAAAAGTATCCATTTGCCCCAAAGTGAAAAAGTTTGGTATAATATGATTTTTAGCCTTTCTGCCACTGAAGAAAAAAGTTTCAATGACAGGAAGAGCATTTGCCCTCCTACACTGTCACCACAATAAACTGCTGGTTGTTGGCATGGCTCCATGTGGTCCATACTCTTCAACCTTTGGTCCCTTTTGAAATCAGTTCTCGCTTTTCATTGCGCGCAGTGTGGAGACTGAATGGTGAAATAAATCCTTTACCTTCTAATTTTTTGCTCTTGAAAACTAATTTATTTTATTTTTTACAGGTGGAATGGGCGACGAAGGCGGCGGTGCTGGTGAGACGCGGTCGTCGACGACTTGAGTTTCTTCCGTTCTCTGGAGACTTTTGAGCGGCAAAGGTCGGTCGTGGCGCCGAAAAGGGGACCAAAGGAAAAGTTGTGGCGCCGATAAGGGAACCATGGTCGATCCTCGTGGAGCCGTCCTGGCGTTCAATGCCGTGGTGTGGACACTGTTCGTCACTTCGGTCACCCGCGGTGCCGGTTTTGACGGTAAGTGTGAGAAACGTGAATTTTATTTGAAAGTGTAAAAAAGTAAAAATAAAATTTTTGTGTGAAATTATTTGCTAGAGATGATGGCTCAGGAATAAATTATGTAGTTCATATCGAAGAGCCTGATGTCGTTGTCATATAAGTGGGGCATCTTCGGGAAATGAACCTTAAAAACAATTTAGATTTGTTGAAGATCTCAAATAAGCTACTCTTCGAATTACAATGATTAATTTTGTACTGTTCGTCTTGCGAATTTCACACATGTTATTTTCAGCATTGGTTCCACGGATATTCAAGGTTTCCATGTGAATGCTGTTACATTTTCAAATTCCAACTTCAAATCACTGCTGTGTTACTAGATACTTATTTTAATTTTTGAAATAGTTGCTTCACATTACAGTGTAATTATTGATCTGGGACCAAAAGCTGAGCCGATTTTGCGGAAAATTGAAGGATAAAGTTTTTTTCAAGTTGAGTATAGTACGGTCAGGATTGTTTCATTTTTCATTGTTGAGTTGCAGTACATTATGAGCTGTTCTCTGAAAGATAACCCAGAAGATTATCACTTGAAAGTAAATTTTCAGGACTTCGTGGACTAAATTATGAATAAAAATAACTTTTTACAGAATACAATAATTTATAATTTTTTCAATGATGGTAATAATACTGTATAATGAGTGGAAATACAGTGTATAGTATTATATCTGACGCTAATTCATAACCCAGGAAATCAAATGTAGAGGTGGACTGTCTCTGCAATGATCTTGTTTACAATGATTTTCTCTAAAAACCAATCTTGTTTGCAATACGGGTTCTCTAAACTTGAAAAAGTGGTTATCTACAACAAAATTGTCTCTTCAACAACTTTTTTCCTGGACCCATGAATTTTGTTGTAGAGTCCCCTGTACAGTAGAATCCTAAGTCAAGAGAAACCATGATGGGATTCAAATGTCATCAGAGTGTGAAGAATTTACGATGATAACTAAGGAATAGCAATTCTTTAAAAAAATTCTTCCAAAAATGAAAAAATTTGGGGTTTTATTGAAGTCGGAAATCACATATCAAACATTTAAAGTTGATAGGTGAATTAAATTCAGTAGTATTTCGGTAAATACTGTACCACATCTGTTGCACATGTTTTTAAATATTGCGCATTCCGGAGTGGGAGAAATGATCAGAGGAGCGCGATAATTCGTACATTGTGCGGTACATAAGATATGCTTCTCAGTCTTTCGGTCGCACTTTTCCAATCGTGACGTGATCAAACATCATCGAACCCTGGCAGTGAGTGAAAAAGAAGGTCGGAATACTAAATTTGGACCTAATTATGCTTCGACCAATAATGTGAAAGTTCTGCTTCTGTTTAGCCCAACGGAGGAGTTACTCACTCCAGTCATCGCACGGGTGGGGTGAAATATCATTCATTACTCCCTATGGGTTAGCTGACGTTTTTGACGCTGATTGCGGAGCATTAGAGTGCAAGATTGAGATCAGGGCGTGAACGCGGTCGTGTTTGCGTCGCGTGAGCGACAAGCGGGTTTCGATCGCGTTGCATAATGATTTCTGCCTGTGATTTTACTTCCCGGCTGCGTTAGTACTACTGTACTTCATACTTGTGAACTTGAACACTCATCACGATGATCGGAAACAAGAGTCGGTCCTTTCAATGTTGTTGATCAGAGCTTGTACAGTACTTGACGATTATGATTTACAGTACTGTACTCGTTTTAGTGATTGATGAGCTGTAGCTGACGTTTAGCTGGAGTTTTGATCATTCGAAAGAATCGTGCACGAGTCGAGAACAAGATTTACGATATGATAATTTTTTATGGTTATGGTTTTGATAGTTACGCTGCTATTAAGGAAAATATACGAATGCCGTGCTTCGAAAAGTAGTTCTGTACCTTATTCGCTTGTTACGTTCTTCGGTGGGAAATGATCTATTCAATTGACGAAATCCTCGGAACTTCCACATCAGAGATTCGTTGGCTGATTATAGGCATTACATATTACCAGAGGATCGAGCGACATGTCCCGAGTTTTTATGTGCGCGATCTATTTGCATACCCATATTGCGCAGTTCTGTGACAATCTCGGACGGTATCCTATTACATCATCCGCATCTCAATTGCTTCGATCATTAATTTTTTTTTGCTTGTGTTGGGAGGCTACCGAGTTGTGTTGGTGGTGATTCGAATTCTGTTGATTATATGGATAAGATCAGGTGAGACCACGTCTTAATAGAGCAAATGTGAGCTTATAAATCCTGTGTAGGTGTTGATCTCTTGTGAATGAATCACGTCAGTTTTCTTCGTCTTTGCGAAGCCATGTTCGAACCTTCAATTACTGTAAATATTACGTTCTGTTCCGATGTTAGTGTTGGGAAAGCTTCTTCATATATTAGAATAAACAGAAGTCTTATCAAAGGCCGCTTATGAAGACAACATTTGTTTAGATCGCTCCCTGTCAAACTCCGTGTAACCTAATCACCGCCGGATCTTCTCACTTAGGAATAGCGATGCTGAGGAACTTCAAACTCGAAGCATGCGAAGAAGCCATGTTGTACTTGAAATGCCCGGAGAACACGACCATCTCCGTGGGGAGCCTGACATTGCAGCGTGGCGAAACTTGGAAGGATGAGAACAACATTGGGTGTCCTCCATTAGTTTTCGATGACGTGCATCCGAACACTTTGGCCGAGGATAACGTCAGCCGTTGTAGGTTGTCCACGATGCAGGTTGGTTTCACGGTGCGTTTGAAAAGTCTTCCCGTTTTTTTCCCACTTCCGTACTGGGAAGGTGTGTGGCTGATGGTTGCTGGTCTATTTGATGGTTGTGGCTAATTTGACGTGAGTGAAGTAATTTGCGGCGAATTACGTGAACAGATCCGTTAACTACGTGAGAATCGTTGGATTACATTACGTTGAGTGAAGCGTATAGCAGCGACACCTATGTAAAGCGAAAGTACTGGTGGCGCGTGCTGTCCGGAGAGATAAGGCGGGAGGGCGATATGAAATTGCCTATGAAAACAGTGAAATAATACAGTTTCCTATGTAATCTTCCACAGACAAGAATGCTGAGAACAATGGCGAGATTATGCGATAATCACCGGCTTTGCGAGGTGCCGGTTTCTGCAGAGCTCCTGTTGGGCAAGTACGAAGGGGCTCCTTGTCGTGGTCACATCAAGCGGATGGAAGTGTTTTTCAAATGCCGTCCTGCTGTTTACGAAAAGACACGCATTGTTTGCGAAGATGAGCCCTTTGAGTTGCAATGTTTGGGCCGTTCGAGAGTCATGGTGGTTTCCACAACTTTTGGGAGAAACCCGCTTGGTGCTTCTGTATGCCCGCAAGACGAGGGCGTACCTGAAGAAGGTGCGTTTGTCATGGAGAAAAAAGGGATCCATCGGTTTTTTTTTTTGTTTTTTAACTTTTTCTTCAATGTCTCTTAGCTGAAAGTGTAATCAGTTATTCAAAATGTACAGGGGGTTCCTGGTTTACAACTGCATCCATTCCTGAGCCAAGTTTCTCAACCAAATAGTTTGTTAACCAAATTCGTTTCACTGTAAGAAAGTGCGGGAATAATTTCAATTTGTTACAGAACATCGAAAGTGCCTGTAAAAATCAAGAAAATGTGTTCCTGGTAATGTTTACTGGGCTTAAAATTCAGGTACTTCGCTGTTTAAAGAGAAGAGAAACTCACTGAAGGACAAAAGCCCTTTTTGAAAGCTTTTAATTTCAGAAGATTTCAGTTGTTGCATTCTTGGGAATCTGAGAAAATTGACATTTTTAGAAATGCAGAAAATGTAAAAATTTTCTGGCTTACATTTTTTTTATGAAATAGAAGTTTGAAATAAGATTATTTTTGCCTGTTGAATGCAGAATTTCAGATTGGAGCACTTTTGATCAATGTATCAAGGGCATTTGTGTTAACCAAGACCCCATGGAGTCTACACACATTTGAGATACAAGTTAAGCTTCCTTTTTTCAAAAAACACAGTAAAATCTCATTACAACAAGATCAGAGAATCAATTTATTTTGAGATTCATTGTTTTTCGACCACCTATTCTCTGAAATTTTGTGGGGAAACAGGTAATGCAGTGTCTCTCATTAGAACAAAGCTATGGGGTCCAGTCAAATACCTTTATAGTAATGAAAACTTTTTATAATTTAGCTCTTCTGTAATTGTGACTATTTAGCAGAGACCTAAAGAATGACTTTTTCATAATCAATCATTTATTCGAAAGAGATTTGTTGTAACAAGGTTCTTCTGTGGATGTTTCCATGTACTTCCTCAACAGATTTGTCTGGAATATCCCTCATTTTCAACTTCTTCTATGGTATAATGAAGAAAAATTTGAAATGGTAATAACATATCTATTATTTTTTACCTTCTCCTCCTTAAATTGTAAATTTATTTGTGGCATTTCTGTGACAATAGTGGTGATGAGAGATTAATCTTACGTAAGTTTATGGAGGATAGGATTCATGGGTCAAGGACATGCCACTAAAGAGACTCGGCTCACTTTATTTGAACAGCCTCATTTTGCATGATTTACCTTTGATTCATTTATTTTTATGCTTTCTATTTCAGCTTGTGACTCGGACTCGCCAAGCATGGACATCTTGACAAAGCTGTGTGACGGGAGAAACAAATGCGGCCTGATTGCAGATCCAGTGGTGTTTGCTGATCCTTGTGAGAAAAGTTCTCGTCCATTTCTCACCATCGTTTACGCATGCGGTACGTTCATTATAATGATTTACTTGGTCAGTATGTTTGTGTCAGTCAATGTGGGCTTTGAGGTTCGGTTAACGTTTTGTAATTTTACAGGATTCTTACCCAGTAATAATAAAACACTATAAAGGATTATTTCGCGTGAGAATGTGATGAATGGGCTTTGCTCGAATTTCAGGAAAAATAATTCCTCTGAAAGTATAAATGGATTACTGTTCTATATGCAGGGTGTTTTCAACTATGGTCTACGCATCATATTTTTGTCTTGGAGTAAGATAATAATATTGTTAAAATGCACTTACGTCAGGGATCTGGAAATAATTACTTTTAATGAGACTCATGACTTTATTTTATGCACATTCAGGACTGGAATTTTGTGAGAAATGTTTAATGAATGTTTTCAAATGCTTCTGCGAAGGATAATTGAAGACTTGCCATCATGTCTGACTCTCTTTGGAAAACTAAAAGGAAACTTAATTTGGTACACTTTTCTTCTATAGAACCCGTCTTGCTTCAAATGTCCTGATAATGTACTGATGCTTCAAATAAAACCGTACAAATTTTGATGCATGGTTACAATACTTAAAGTCACTTACTCAAGCACTCCTGTAGTTTCTCTGAAGAAGATGAATATATTCTATAGCATGTTTTTTTCATTTGAAAGAGAAGTGTTTTTTTTAGCTAAATCCTCAAATGTAGCCAGAAAATATCTAAAAAAAAGACAAGTATTTTCTGTTTTGATAAATTTTATTTTCTTGATCTTTTAATCGTGCACAAGTTGGATTTCTCCAATTTTTTCGCCAATTATAAGAAAATCTGTTCATACCGGACAAAATTTTTTTCAGGTGGACTCTCTCTTTCTCTAAGATTTTTTTTGTATGACGATTATTTAATTTTTTATGTTTCTCTTATGTTATAGGGGTTCTAACTTCTATGCAACAAAATTATCTCTAAAATGATTTTTTTTCTGGTCACTTGAATTTTGTTTTAGGAAGAGTCCACCTGTGTATAGTAATGAGATTACAGTACAGGTGAAAAAGAGTTCATTAAAATGAGATAATCGTAATATTGTTCCTGTGAAAAAAACTTTTGGGACCTGGCGAAATGTTATGACGAAATTTATTGCTTGAGAATTGTACTGTATTGTACAGTGAATAACTTGTGAAGACATTTCCCCTGTATGACCGAACTACATGTTTAAATTTCCATTTGCAGTCCCTGAACACGTTCTGCTGAATGCTGAGCCAATTGCAGAAGAAGGCTTGCAAGAAGATGAACATGGGAACATCATTGATCCTGCAACCAAATCATCAGTGGAAACATCAACTGCCATGAGTGATGAAACCACAGCTGGGTCTCCAAGACCCTTGCCTACTTTGGTGCTTAACCTTGAAAAATCAGCGCCTCCAGAGAACGAAACCCGGCGTGAGTTTTATCGTTTTTTTTTAAAATTAACTACCATCTGGATAGATATAATTAAGTGATGATTTTATTTTCCTTCAGGGCATCTGTACTTCCCTACGGACATCATGCCGGAGAACTACACTAACAATGATCAAACGAATAACCTGCGTCGGCACGTTTCGCCATGGAATGATTCGATTTATACGCAACTGTGTGATACTAATGTGACGAAGGCAAATCACGTCATGGGCGTTATTACCGAGTGGTTGACTGCATATCAATTTATCTTGAGTGAGTAGAAACATTACTATAGGTGTAAATTACCGTCCTTGCGGGGAAAACTTGCTGGATATTTTAGGAAAAGGATGCGTGAATGAAAGAATGTTTTTTTGGCACATTGAAGTTAAGGAACCAGATTGAATTCCCTTCCTGAAGTAGACTGTTGGAATAAATGAGATCAAGAACATTAATGTTGCGGTGAGATTTTGAGGTAGGTGGGGAAATAGTTTACACTGTTGTCAACGTTTTCATTTCAAATTCAGGAATTGAGTGTTGCATTTTTAAATTCAATCCAAAGTTGAGTGATCAACTCCACTTATTGAATTTAAAAAAAACTCATCTCATTTTTGAAGGTTGATAATTCATTTTCGAGTTATTTGAGAAAAATCTTCCTCTCTCCAAGGGTTGATGAAAGTCTATCTTGAGAAAAAAGAAACTTGAGAATTTGGTGTTAGTTTTAATAGGATTTAAGATGGCCACAATAACCATTAAATTCTTGCATGCAATTGAAAATGCATGGAACATCTGAAAGTCATAGAATTTCTTCCTCTGATCTTAATTAATAGTCTCAAGTAATTCTCAAATGTCAAGGAAATGAATTTAAATGTCAGTGAAAGTGATTCAGAAGAAACTTAACTTGAATATGTTTTCAGACTTGTTCCTTGAGGTTTTTAAACTATGCTTGTAATTTTTTGATGAACTGCAGCCAAGCTTGAGCTTGACAACTGAGGACTTGACTGATTTGTAAATGAACAGATGTTTGGTTCTTTTGGCAGAAAGCTTGAGTGAAATATTTGCTGCATTCTCCATAAAAAAAAAAAAAATCTTGCCTTCTATGTGGAAAAAAGCTTGAAAGAGGAAATCATTTGCAGTTGTTGAGAGTCCACCATCTTGCCTGCCATGAAAAATTCCTCATAGATCCTGTTCAGAGTTTTACATACCTAGTAGACTTCTGTATTTTGAAATTCAATGTTCAGTTCTTGGATTTGAAGTTTACTGCTCTCTGAAGATTCAAGGAATGCTTTGCTAACAGTTTTTTCAAAATGAAATTAATCATTCATGATTTTTCTTACGTGGCCTTTGAAAGTGGTTTCAGAGATAATTAGGTGGAATTGATTTATTAGTCTATTTTTTATTAATCTCACGATGTTACATTTTTATCACATAAATTACAAGTGTATGTCAATGTTGTGATGAAATTCTATTAAATTTGACTCCTTTCTCTGACCAACTTTTTTTTGCACATCTGCAGAAAATCTGGAGAAGTTTGTCCTGTACTTGCTGCTGAGTGTCTGCGTCGGCCTGCTTCTTTTCTGCCTGGTCCTCATCTGCCAACTGTGGAGCTCGAATCGACGCCGAAAACGCCGCCTTTTGCGATCAAATTGGAGCAACTTGTTTGTCCTTCTAGACCTGGTGTTTGCTTGGTATTGTCAGTATTGTGCCATGAGAGAGTAGTGGAACTGTCATTAACCTCTTCAGGAAATTAAACAGTTATTTCCAATGCCCTGATATACTTTACTTGGGAATTAGAGATTTGAAATTGTTTCTCCTTACATCTATGTGAAGGTATCATCTAACATTGAAGCTTCATTTCTTCTTTTTTCATACATGTCGTGCTTATTCATTATAGGAGTGACATCTATTTTCTATTCATTTTATGAATGTACAGGTGTCGCTCTTTTGAAGTTGCAAGTGACGTACACTGTTCAGCATTCCGCCTGAAATACTTTTTGTTAGTAAAGATCGACAGTACGTGATTTTGGGTACAGTAGTGCCAGATTAAAATTGAAGTTTCAAATTTGGTAGTCCTGATTCACCAGACAAACACTGAATGGAAGAAACGGATTTTATTCCACGAATTAAATCCATCCCATAAGCAACTACGCATCCGACCGTGATTTCCAAGAACACTCCAATACCAAAAACATTCGAGCCCGTCTTGTAGGAGGTAGCTCTCATAAGGACATCTCGGATTTTATTCCACGAATTAAATCCATCCCATAAGCAACTACGCATCCGACCGTGATTTCCAAGAACACTCCAATACCAAAAACATTCGAGCCCGTCTTGTAGGAGGTAGCTCTTATAAGGACATCAACCTAATCTTGGGGCACAAAACGAAATCATTCAGAATCTCTGGAAGGAAAATGAAAACCTCTGATGTTTGATGACAACAGCGAAAGAGTGTTTCACACTAACACCTTCCACAGACGGGCCCCCAATAAAGAATGGAAAAAAAATCATCCAACATTGCACCAATTCCATGAATCCACAGGTCAACAAAAAGTCTTCAAAACCCACTCTTTCCCCCTCTTCAATCTATCTGTTGGAAGCTTTCAAAATCCTCTCTTCCTGCTCACTATGCATGCATTATAGAGAACAAGTTGCCATCACAGCCATATAAAACACCTCATTCAACACATCAAAAACTCGTAACTTTGGCAGTTGAAAGAAGTTCCAAAATGGAACAGCATTCTATCAAAAAGTTCCTCATTGGTACCACCAGTGGCGCTCAAAAGTTCGAATTTTTCAAAGAAACGAAAAGCTGTTGATTTTTTGCTCTTGTGAAAAGATTCCAATTGACGCTTCCTTCCAGTAAATATTGAGCTGAGCAACTGATAGGTATAACCCAACTTCACTTGAATATTCAAGACCTAAAATATTTTCATCACCAACTGTCTAAAATCTTATTGAACATAATCCAGCAATTCAAGAGCGTGAGCAACATTGTTCTAATTTCATAAGCAAAAACTTAGAATCATTGAAATACTGTGGTCTTCCCTGATTTCGATCAATTTGGAAAAAAGGGACTCAAATGCCATGAGAGAAACTTTCAAGATGAGAAAATAAACAGCTTTCTTCTAAAATGAAAGAGGAAAACTTCGAACTTTTGCTGAACCACTATACTGAAAGGAATGAGATCAAAAACTGGTGGAAAACATTGTCACAATGAGACTTTCAGGAAGGAAGGAAGAAAAATCAAATGAGTTCACACTGTCGTCGTCATTTCCCTGACGAATCCAGGCACCGAGTGCTGGATCAAAGTGCCAGCAGTCTGCAGGTCATCCAAGATGTTCAGCGCTGGCCCCTGCTGCTGGGCACCCGAGTCCGGCGCCACAAACGTACCAGACGGCATTCTCAGCAGGATTCCCGTGGATCCACCATAAGCCTGTGGTACCATTTGATGCTGCTGCGGCTGCTGCGACTGAGGTTGTTGGAAAAGATGATGGCTATTGCTATGAACAGCTTCCGCTGCAGCAATTTGTTGACCAATCCTGCCCAGTGCCTCAGGCTCACTGTAACTCAGATTATTGTGCAGGGATGAGCCCGACGGCTTATGTTTCTTGGGCAGTGTGAGGATTCCCGGATGGCTTTGCGTACTGCAAGGCCCACCTGGTCCAGCACTTGATGAATATCTGCAGGCAAAAACAGCAACCCTAATATACTACTCGTACCTCAACTTCCATGTCATCGGAAAACAAATATACAGCACTGTACAGTAATATTAAATGTCTTCAAGGAAAATAGTATACAAAAAAATCTGTTCTTCCTCCGGCAAAGCTTCATCTCAGCAACTTTGGACGTCTTCCGGTTTTATTAAATACAGTACTAAAATTTCCACTTTCATTGCTTTCTTGCGCGCCAAAATGCATCAGGGCGTTAAATTGACAACACTATCCTTCATTGAGTTTTGTTTTACTGTACCTTGTTTTTTTATTATCAGGAAATATATATACAGTATTGCTTCTTTATTTGAAACTGTAAAATTGAGGAAGAAATAAGCAACTCGATTCAAAACTAAATCCACGATTCTGGACATTCAAAGTTTTGAGATTCGATTATCCTTTTTTGTCAATAGAAAATATCAACATGAATAAATTCGATCCATGGCGTAATAATAAGATTACGGGAATTTGCATAGAAAAAATTGAAATTTACTTGAACAATATCATTTTTTGTGAAAAAATTATTAACGTATATCCTTTAAGTTGACTACATTCATTTGAATAAGTACAATAATTATTTTTGAGATACACGGTGTATGCTGTACCAAAATTTTCCCAAGAAGTTATGCAACAGCGTTCTTTGACGAGGCCATGACTTCTGGAAAAAATATGGTACAGTAACATTTTTTCGGATCTCGCAATTAAAAAAAATTTTTGACTGCCAATATGATCCAGATAAGCGTCACCTACGTTGCTGACCTGACCTAACCAGACAAGACTTTAATGCCCCGCCCCAACCTGAACAAAAGTCAACTGAATACCCGACACTTCAAGCCACATCTTTGGGCTGTAATACGGTTTTTTAAAGTTTCGGGGTCAAAAAAGGTCGCGCCTGACCTACATAAAAGTTGCGTGAAATTCAGATTCAACAATTTTCGGGCACGGAAAGACCATAACTTGGGAAAGTTTGAGAGTAAAATAAAAGAGATAGCAAGAATAATGCGTCGTTCAATTTCTTTTTCGCTTACAGTACAATACAGTATATGCTTTATTTAAAGCAGATGAAAAAGTACGGACCTTTCATCAAAATCGTTGTACAGCAAAAAGTCGGTAACTTTGTTGCAACTGGCCGCATACTCATATTCAAATTCTCCCGGATACTGGAGTTCTTCCGGTTGTCCATTCGGCACCTCTTCCGCAATGCACGCCAAATAATCCCCGGCTTTCAGCGCAGATGCCTCACTTCTGCGTCGATATTGCTATGGACACAGACAAGGATCAAACTCGTTTCCACAATTCTTTTAGCGTATTTTTTATCGCATAAAAATCCATGCACACTTTTGCTGCGCAGAGTGTTTAAATTGAAAATTTACAGCGTTTCATACGTGGTTACCAAATGGAAAGTGCAAAAAAATCCATCCCCATGTACACTAGAATGAATTACAGTACGTTGCACATCTTCAAATTCGTCCAGATTTCCTTTCACTCGTTTCAAAACTGAAAATGGTCGTTCTGATTTTTTCAATTGAAATTTCGACTGCGTTTCTTTATTAAAGAGATTGGGTCATTCAAAACATTTTCCCTTGTGAATATATCACGGCAACATACGTACAGTGTGATCCTCTTCAAGTCTAACTTTAAAAGGGACAAGCAAAAAATTCGAGTTAGCAAAACAAGCATTTCTTTCGGGGGAGGATAATTGCAGGAAGTTGTACATTCAGATCTGCCATGGGCCTTGAACTGATTTCTGTACCAGTTGAAAGGAAGCTGATTTTGGATGCAACGGTTCATTTTCCTGAATAGTCCTTCACTTCCTTCTCAAAACATCAAGTTACATTTTTATTGCTCTTGTTTTTTCAGTTTCAATAAAATTATAGCCAGAAGGCCGCTGGAAAATTTGAGTTTCGGAGGTTTGAAGGGTGAAAGCCTTCAATTTAGGAAGATTATTAATTCATTGCTTCTAAGGGAATTCAGACATGGACTTAAAAAAAATTCGACATATGAACATTCAACTTTATACATTACCAAGTACATTTATAGATTTTTTCAGCCCATTTCAACAAAGAAGTGCGACTTTTTTTTTATAGTGGAAATGTTATTTTCCCCATCATTTTTTTTCTCTTTGAAGAGTGAGGTGCAAGCAGTTCATAAAAGGACACGTGAAGAAAACACACATCCGAACACAACATAATCAACTCATCATGAAAATAACTAACATTTGCAGGATCCATCTTGTGCAGACTAGCCGGACAGAGGCACACGGGACCGCCATTTTCTGGGTTATCGTGATGACGACCGTCGCCATTCGGGGTCTTCTGTTGATCCACGCTCCTTCTTCCTTCGGGGCTGTTGGGTTCTTCGTAGCTCACGTAGTTCAGTGCGAAGAGACTCACTCCACTGAGCATCACGCAAGAGCACGAGAAATAATACCCCGACATCGGTTGACTAGCATTTATGTACCCTGAAACAAAACACGTGGCATTTTCAATTTAAAAGAAATACTCGAAAGTTCATCAAGAGAATACAATAAAAGGACTGTACAAGGTTCAGTCGGACCAATGAGCATAATAAGACGCCAATGAGCAAAATTGTCCCTTCATCAAAATTCACGAGCGTCAAGGAAAAGTTTCACATATAAGCAATCGAATTCATTGCACAGGAATACAATAAACAAGTATACTATGTAAAAACTTTTTCGAAAAGCTTGGCTTTCAAAAATATGAAATTGCCTGATATTTTATGACGTCTTTTAAACAAAATATGTGCAATAAAAAAATCTTTCACACGAGAATCGTCATAAATGAAGAACAGTATAACAAATCGTTACCCCCACATTTACAAAGCTACAATCCTGATTTTGCGACGATTTAAGCTCTTGAAAGATACCGCGTAAAATCACGCAAATGCTGAAAATTTTGAAGTAAATTATATACAGTAGAAAATTCTCTTTCCAAGCAGTACAGTAATTGCTTCCAATTCCATGGCACAAAATCTGCTTTAGACGCGTTTCACAATCAAAGACGTTTAATATTCTGAGAAAATCTCGTTCCGCACTTGAAAAATGTATTCGAATACCCTCAAATGTTTTAATGATTTTCAAGCTCCCTCTTTCATATCTTCCTGAAACTGTCGGCATCGGACAAACGTTCTGGATAATACACAGATCAGAAAGAATATAACATCCACATTTCCCTCCCCCANGGTAAATGCTACAGCTAAAATCTTGGGAATCTCAGAACATTCGATTTTCCGGACGCACTCAAACACGAAAACAAAATCAAGATGATTAAAAATTTCGCACAAAGCATAACTGAGAGGATGCGCTTCGGTAAATCATTTTTTGGACATGACTTTTTCAGAAATTTTCTCACGATCTCCACACACACTCACCGGTAATAGGAATGCCTATGAGAATCGGGATGAATGCGACCCATTGAATGAATGCTATGGCTCTCGCAAAGTTCCTCGCTCTCGTCTGCTCATAGGTGTACACCCTCAGCGAATACGCATTGGCGCCCAGGAACAAACCATAGAGCCACATGAACAAGGCATAACCGTGGTAGTCCCGGATCATGCACAGGGCGAAAAGGATCAATCCTGGAAAAGAAACCAAACACAAATCAACCCTTCAACAATCAAAGAGTCTTCAAAACTCCACAGGAAAAATCAGTTCAAAGGAACCCACGAAACTAATGCGCAACGATAAAGTTATGAACGTAATTTTTCTCAGTTTTACCAGTACCCACAACTACACCAACCCACATCCGACTCATGATGCTTTGGTTAGAATAGTTTAGAATTTGTCGATAATTGCGTTTCACGAGGATTCATCACGAAGTGATTGACTAGATTCGACTGATCGAAGCCCGAAATACAACCAGGGGCTCTTAGCATAGCTGTACAGCGCATGTAAACCTTGAAAACTCGGACCTCTCTGAGTTGAATATCTCCCTATGTCGACTTTTTCAAGTCATTCTCTGAATTCCTTCGGAATAAATGCATTTAAAACCTCCATAACCGAATCTTCTTCAGGCCTTTCTGCTATTTTTCAATGGAGTAATTGACACAGGAAAGAAAGAAGCAGTACAAATGTAACGATGTGTTTTGAAATTAAGTAGAAGTCTATTTGTACAAATAAACCCTTACCACCAAGTTCAGCACCTTGTCGACTCATTCAAGAAGCAAATTAAGGCCCACAAAATCATAAATGTTTTGTAATTCTTTTTTTCCCTCAGCAAAAAGCTCGTTTCCCTAACTAGAAATCTCCTTAGCTTTATTATTTTTTTATGGTCCCTTTAAAATTTGTCATATAAAGAGAGGTTAGACTGCATCCAAAAGCCTGATTTAATGATCAGCGCTCACGTATTCCCTATACGGTATGTATACCTTTGTGAATACAGTACAAACGCCCAGTAAAAGAATGTAGCAGAATTCGATAGCCTTGAAATACGTGATTAGATGAGATCAATAAGTGCACGAGAACACTCACCTAGAGAGAAGACAATGGCTTGGTGCAAGTATTGCCTTGAGATCATGCAGTTCTGGCTTCTCCGGACAACCATCATGCCAGTGCCGATGCAGCCGATCACGTACGCCAGTCCGCAATAAGTGTACAACAGAACAACGGAGTGCTTTGGTATTTGTTGATCCAGCCCATTCCTCGCCTGCGAATCGGTTAAAATACAGACAATCAAAATTAAATTGACACCCACTGTGATAACATTTTTCACTTTAATCGACTCGCGCTGCTTCCTCTTCCAAATTCTGTCGTTTTTACAGCACGACAAATTATTCGAGAAAAAATCGAAATTTCCTCGAGAAATCTTTTTTCAAGCACATTTTTCGAAAATTATCCGATTTACCAAAGCCAATTCGCGAGCTGAACTTAGTTTTCCTCTTAATTTTTTTAATTACTTTGAATTGTTCTTTCCAGTAGGTGGACCATTTCTAAAAATTTGTGGGAAACACGCAATAAAAATTCCAGTTCCACGAAATTGTTTGTCTCAATAAATCTTGAAAACTTGCAGCAAACGGTTTAGAGAGCATTATTTCAAATTGTGTTTTGGCTAGAACTTTCGAAAAAAAAAAATGCGGCGATAATGAATCTTTCGTAACAACGAAATTTCACCTGCATATTTGTTGTCCGTGGCAACATTTCCACAATTTCAAAATGAAAACGATTACTCACAAGATGGAAGAGTGGCGAGTAGATGCCGAAACCGCAGAGTGCATTTGATACCATCAGAATCTGCACATGCTTCGATCGGAGCGAGGAAAAATCACAGTAGGGAGGCTTCTCAATAATCNAACTACACCAACCCACATCCGACTCATGATGCTTTGGTTAGAATAGTTTAGAATTTGTCGATAATTGCGTTTCACGAGGATTCATCACGAAGTGATTGACTAGATTCGACTGATCGAAGCCCGAAATACAACCAGGGGCTCTTAGCATAGCTGTACAGCGCATGTAAACCTTGAAAACTCGGACCTCTCTGAGTTGAATATCTCCCTATGTCGACTTTTTCAAGTCATTCTCTGAATTCCTTCGGAATAAATGCATTTAAAACCTCCATAACCGAATCTTCTTCAGGCCTTTCTGCTATTTTTCAATGGAGTAATTGACACAGGAAAGAAAGAAGCAGTACAAATGTAACGATGTGTTTTGAAATTAAGTAGAAGTCTATTTGTACAAATAAACCCTTACCACCAAGTTCAGCACCTTGTCGACTCATTCAAGAAGCAAATTAAGGCCCACAAAATCATAAATGTTTTGTAATTCTTTTTTTCCCTCAGCAAAAAGCTCGTTTCCCTAACTAGAAATCTCCTTAGCTTTATTATTTTTTTATGGTCCCTTTAAAATTTGTCATATAAAGAGAGGTTAGACTGCATCCAAAAGCCTGATTTAATGATCAGCGCTCACGTATTCCCTATACGGTATGTATACCTTTGTGAATACAGTACAAACGCCCAGTAAAAGAATGTAGCAGAATTCGATAGCCTTGAAATACGTGATTAGATGAGATCAATAAGTGCACGAGAACACTCACCTAGAGAGAAGACAATGGCTTGGTGCAAGTATTGCCTTGAGATCATGCAGTTCTGGCTTCTCCGGACAACCATCATGCCAGTGCCGATGCAGCCGATCACGTACGCCAGTCCGCAATAAGTGTACAACAGAACAACGGAGTGCTTTGGTATTTGTTGATCCAGCCCATTCCTCGCCTGCGAATCGGTTAAAATACAGACAATCAAAATTAAATTGACACCCACTGTGATAACTGAGGCCTACTAATATGAAGTATAAGTTTCGCACTTTAATTGACTCGCGCTGCTTCCTCTTCCAAATTCTGTCGATTTTACAGCACGACAAATTATTCGAAAAAAAATCAAAATTTCCTCGAGAAATCTTCTTTCAAGCAAAATTTTCGAAAATTATCCGATCAACCAAAGCCATTTCGCGAGCTGAACTTAGTATTCCTTTTACTTTTTATAATTACTTTGAATTGTTCTTTCCAGAGAGGGTGAAATTTTTTTTACAAATTTGCGGGAAACACGCGATAGAAATTCCAGGTCCACAAAATGGTGTCTCAATAATCTTGAAAACTTACAGTAAACGGTTAAGAGAGGTGTCTCAATAATCTTGAAAACTTACAGTAAACGGTTAAGAGAGCATTATTTCAAATTGTGTTTTAGCTGGAACTTTCGAAAAAATGCGGCAATAATGAATCTTTCGTGACAACGAAATTTCACCTACATCTTTGTTGGCCGAGACAACATTTCCACTTGGAATTTTCCACACTTTCAAAATGAAAACAATTACTCACAAGATGGAAGAGTGGCGAGTAGATGCCGAAACCGCAGAGTGCATTTGATACCATCAGAATCTGCACATGCTTCGATCGGAGCGAGGAAAAATCACAGTAGGGAGGCTTCTCAATAATCTGCTTCTTGGTGTCTTTCACCTTCCGCTTTTGACTTTTCAAGTGCAAGATCGCTCGTCGTTGCGGATGGTATAATGACGCCGATCGGTAGAAAATGCCCAGAAAGAAGCAAAGGAACACCAGGCCGGTAAACGCCTGCAGTCCCAACCGCCATCCGATGTCACTGTTACGGAACAAATTTTGTAAGCATTACTATGAATTCGAAATTTTGAGGACAAATCACACTTCGGTTCAGCAGTATTTCCCGGAGAATCATGCTGCGTGTCTTAAGCAGGATTGCGGTAGGTAATCAACTACGACTATCTCAACAGAACACTTGAGTAGGAAAACCGATGATGCCCAATTAGCAACGCACTTAACACAGGATGATGTATTCCGGGTAACCGCCGATAACCTTCGTCCTGGCTTGACTGACTACACGAATACTACGGAAGCGATGATGATGGTAAGAACCCAAAAAGAAGAACCGAAACTGGAACCAACTGTCACCGTCTGGGAATACAATTTGTCCAAACTCACCCTATAACTTTGTAGAAAAAGTGCGAGAAAATGGTTATTCCAATGCCGGAACCGGACTGCGCTATGGCCTCCACGAATTCCCTCCGTCGCTTGAAGTACTGTCCAAGCATCAATCCCGAGGTCTCTCTTGACAAACCGACTCCAACCCCCAACATGATCCCGTAACTGGAATTGATCCCGCCAGCCCACAAGAGACAAATGACACTACAGTACCACGAAGTACCCTCAAGCATGCTCTTTGGTCACTGAGTCGTCCTACACATGAAGGAATACACCATATCTCGATTGTGCTCGTCACTCGGAATAACGCATTACTCCTCGTCATGAAGTTGACAAGCGGAGCATTCTCTTAGAACTTATTACAGCTTCCAAGTCTGTAGAAGTCTTTGAAGCCGTAAGTAACTACATACACACAGCAGACAAGGCGCAATCAAAATGATGGATTCACCCGTCTCTTAATCGCATGGGACCAAAGAGCATGAACAAACATCATCTGTCACAATAGCTCCTCTAAAGATACCTCCAAATATGAAGTACAGTAATAGTATGACTATTTTCAGTAAAAGACGCATACCTGAAAAATATCTGATGAATCTGCTGAGCAAACGATGTGAAGAGACAAGCGAGAGCCATGATCAGACCTCCAACAACAGCCGTGAGCCGGGTTGATTTCCTTCGGCACAACGCAACCACGAACGGCGACGTGAATATGCTTGTTGACAAGCATAGCGAACCAACCCACACTACAAAGGATTTTGAGTCGTCCTATACATGAAGGAATACACCATATCTCGATTGTGCTCGTCACTCGGAATAACGCATTACTCCTCGTCATGAAGTTGACAAGCGGAGCATTCTCTTAGAACTTATTACAGCTTCCAAGACTGTAGAAGTCTTTCAAGCCGTAAGTAACTACATACACACAGCAGACAAGGCGCAATCAAAATGATGGATTCACCCGTTCCTTAATCGCATGGGACCAAAGAGCATGAACAAACATCATCTGTCACAATAGCTCGTTCTCTAAAAATACCTCCGAATATGAAGTACAGTAATTGTATGGCTATTTTCAGTAAAAGACGCATACCTGAAAAATATCTGATGAATCTGCTGAGCAAACGATGTGAAGAGACAAGCGAGAGCCATGATCAGACCTCCAACAACAGCCGTGAGCCGGGTTGATTTCCTTCGGCACAACGCAACCACGAACGGCGACGTGAATATGCTTGTTGACAAGCATAGCGAACCAACCCACACTACAAAGGATTGAATGAGAAAATTACACGACCGTGAAACTCCTTTTCACACGACAACACCGCAGTCCAGTTGACGGATGAGTACGTCTCGAAGACAGCATTATACAGATCTCACGACCAACATATCTTATTGACTGAAAGTTTTGGTTTTTTGGAAATAAATGCGCAGGCCAAAATAAGCCACTAGGATTTTATTCAATTTTAAAACTATACTTCGCCATAACTTTCCATCACTCCCACACTTCACATCAAGAGATATCTGAAACATTTCAACAGGTGCCACGTCACGCGGTCATAGCAGTCCTGGCGGACTCCAATTCTGAACGGATTCCACACATAAGGGAAGCATCAGTTTTCTGAAAGCTTCCCAAGACTCATTCCGGGGGACGCTCTGCCAAGCGATGTCCAGTGAACCAAATGAACAAGAAATAATTAAAATTAAATTCGGTTCGTTTACCATTCCTGTTAAAATGCATCATATCTTCTTTTAAAATTATAAGATCATTCTGCTTCAAATTATAATTTCAAAAATTTAATTCTGACCAGCAAAAGAACTTGACTGTGATTCTTGTGAAGGTATACATTCATGGGGTGAATTCCACATTGAAAAAGCAAGGTGATTGCCTTACTAAAGGTGAAGGGCACATCACACTTGATAACTTGAGTAACTATAAAATATTTTAACTGAAGTCTGCAGGAGAACCAGCAGCAGGTTCAAGTACATCAATCCCTCAAGTATAAGACCTAGACTGGCGCGCGAACCTCCTTCTTTTTCCTCCCAGTTTTCAGAAAACAGGTGCCTGTGGTATACTACTGGAGATAATATGGTAATTAAAATAAAAAGACAGACCCAGATCTTCGTAGGCATAGTCGCCGCCGCCGGGCTTGCGGAAGTGGTGCGGGTCGGAGGCGGCGTGGACGAGCAGGAGCGCCACTGCGAGCTGGGCGCCGGCGCACAGGCAATGCGTGGCCAGGGCGCAGGCGACCACTACCCAACCCCAGCCGCCCTCGGGGTAGTAGTGCTGGCGGATAGTGTTGGTCTTGGCGCCGCGCCGCCGCAGCGCCGGGATCCTCGCCCCCAGGCTGCTCATCTCCCGCTCGCCCAGGAACCGCAGCCCATCCGGGATCTCGTGGTCCCCTTCCTCCAGCACCAGCTCCCCCGCGGGGTAGGTACCTGCACCCTGCTGGCCCTGCTGCTGCTGTTGGTGCTGCTGCTGGTGGTGGCCGTAACGGCTCACGCCGCTCTTGTCTGCAAAAATGATACAGAAAAAAAAACGAAATTAGTATTTAGGTACCACTGCTGCTGGCGCAGCATCAGAATAACATACGAAAAGAAAACAGCACAAATGGTAGTAGGTCTTGAAAACATAAATGCAGAAAATTTGGAAGTGAAGTCCAATAATATCATGAAGATCAGGTGCTGCGTTTTATTATTATTATTTTTATTTTTTTATTAAATTATTAATTCTGATTTTCTCAGCCTAGGATTAGTTCGTCCTCATTGAATTTCGAAATTAAATCAAGCTGAGTGTAACATTTAAAAAAATTTAATTTCGAAAATTACATAAAATAATATTGGGTGCTGAAAATAAAAAAGCCAATAATTTGGGGTGCAGTAAGATTATGACCTCCAGAATGTGCGTTTTGATCGATTTTTTTAAATTCTGAATTTCTCAGATTGAATTCGTTCTTTTTAATTAAATTTCGAAATAAAATTAAGCTGGACATTCTTCTAATCATCTTGGACTCTGCCAAGAAAATGATACTTGTTGCGGAAAAATAATCGCGTCGTGTTTATCATCGGATTCGAGGGTATGATGATGAAGGATTTGAAAATTCACAAGAAAGTCATGATCAAAGTTTAGTGATGGATTGCAGTAGGAATACGAAAATCAGGAATTTAAGATGAAGAAAGATTCGACAATCCGCAGGCATGTCATCAGCAAAATCAAGGAATGGATTTCAATTTCAGACAGAGCGAAATGAAATTTTGGCACGGCTGTTTTCCCCGAGCATAGGCGTCCAGACGAAATATAATTTCGAAAAAATTTTCAGTGGCTATGAAAAATTGATTGTAAGAATAAACTATTGCATTGAAATTACTGTACTACTGTATGAAAAATTTGCATTTGCTAAAATCAGAGGTTAGCTAATTGAAGTTTGATTTTTTTCGGACAATACAACATATAATGAGGAAAAATATTCAAGGTTCTCAGCAGGATAATGAACAAAAATCTCTCGCCAGAAGCAGTAGTTTTTTTTCTTGGAATTTCAGAAAAAAATACACAGAAAAACAAATTTATTTCAATGGCTGATCAAAACTTTCTAGTACAGTAATCAGAAAGCAGTTCACTGAAAAATAAAAGTTTTCTTTGAAAAAAATCTATACCAGATAATTGTATTGAGATAATCTTTACTTTTCTCTGAAGTACTGTATAACCTCTTTGGCACTTCTGTGATCAGTAAATAATTATTCAGAATCAATATTCCCGCATTTCAAAGGAAAATAGGAAAAATTGTAGAAACAGAAGAAGCACAGAACAACAAATTTGTTTCAGTGGCTGATCGAAACTTTCTCGCGATCAGAAAACATTCCACTGAAAAAAATGAAGTCTCGCACAGGAAATTGTGTTTGTGTTAGAAAAAAAACCACATCCGAAATAAATTGAACTGCCAAAATGAGGAAGCATTGCTCGAGATTACTTCCGGTATACGTTCAAATTGCTCATTCCACATGCAGCACATTTTCCAAGAGATACGAATGCCACCTTCAAAACTGCTGCCTTATACTGTATATATAGAGGCGAACTATCGATCATACACACTCGGGTTCTCTTATACTGCACTACAAGCGAGGAACTAAAAACAAAATTCAACTCCATGGAATTTCATCGCATGAAAGCGCCACGAAATGCGATGAAAACCTGATGCGATTCCCCATTTTAGTTCCGGCAAGCAGTAGATTGCTATTATAAACGAGGGGAAGTTTCCAAGGTTTTGCGATGGATTTGATATAAAATAGCATAGAATAGAACAATGCAAGTATTTGGGAAAATTCAATGGCTTTATTTCAGAATAATATTAATCGAAAAAAAAATATTTAGACAAAGGAATCTATCCCGATTTTTTCGAGGAGCTCTGAATTTTCCGCACTTATGTTCTTCATTCACACCTCAGTAAGAAAAATTGCATCTGAGATAAAATTATATGACATCCTTCTTCAAATGCTCGGTTTGAAATAAAATAATGCAGTGTAGCTGATCTTGCTTATGGCAAAACTAAACCATCACTATTTGTATAATCTGACATCCCCTCATATTGGTATATGATACCATAGCTCTTTTGACAAATTCATGGCACTTTAATTATTAATTTATTAAATTTTCAAAGGTGTCTAAATTCTTCAATTATACTGCAGAATAAATAGATTGGTTGATGCATCACCAGAGCACCTTCTTTTCTCATGTCCATCATTCCCCATCTAAAGAAATGAGCTTTAAAAATTTTTGGGACAATTAAAATTCAATGAAAAGATCCTTTCAAAAATCCAGGAAGACCAAGACAAGCTGTTAACTTATATTATTTATCATCAAAGATTCTCTCCAAATTATTGATTCAACCAAACCTTATCTGGGAACAGGCTGAAGACCTTGTACTTTAAATTCAGTTCAGTGATTGGGATGCAATTATTACTGATATCTTGTTTTTGTTTTCAGTGAAGGAAAGGGTGTATTCACACCAGTTGTGCAGATTTACATTGTGGGATGTATTTTCTTTTCTTTTGGTATCCACATGCATCTGACTTCTCTATTTTCCCTTTTGAAGTGATTGAAATGATGCCTTTGGATGGATTTAAGTTGGAAGGGGCGGGGGTTTTTAATGTGGGAATGTTGTGTGAACCTTGTAAATGCTGAAAAGTGGAAAATAAAGCTTCCTGTTCAATTCAATTCAATTCAATTCAGTGCATAAAAATTTGGAAACAATAAATGGCTTATTCTACATATTCCAGAATAATATTGATAAAAACAAATTATATGGAGAAATGCATCCTTTTTTTAAATACTGGATTTCTGCACTTTGGTTCTTCATTCAAATCCTAGTAGGAAGCATAACATATGTAAAAAAACCATATGACATGCTCTTCACATTTGATCACAACTGCAAATGCCAAAAATGGACAAGAAGAGGAATTCAGGAAATCTTTTACAGATCAAGTTATGAAGGATGATCTCAAGGAAGAAGAGTTTTTTCTTTCAGGATTGTCCTTGCTGAGCCTGGGAACTAAACTCTGGTTTGGTTCAAAGTTTCACAAGATTTTTTTTTTTCATTTCTTGGTGAGAGGATGAGTTAAACTGTTTTAGAAAATGCTATTCTGGTGCCACTCTACCATTTTCCCCCACAAATGGTATCAATGAAATGAAACAACAGACAATAAAGGAGATTGCTTGAAAAACAAAAATGTCTTGCCTCAAGTTGATTCATTTCTCTTCATTCCCACCCTACCAGAAGAATATAAGCAGATTCCCATTCATCACACAGGAATGCAAATAAAAATCGGAATTCCGGGAGTAAAGCAAACTTGGAGATAATCTAATTTTTTTAAAGCAAGGAAACAATTTCATCATTTCTGGAAGATACATTTAAAATTTGCAACTGCTCCATTCCAGCAGGTGCAGAATTTTTGTGAGAGGTGGGGGGGGGGGGGGGGGAAAGTGGCAGACTTTTCAGCGGGACTCGTTTCCCTGCGGAATTCGCGTTTCCCTTTTGAAGTGATTGAAATGATGCCTTTGGATGGATTTAAGTTGGAAGGGGGGGGGGGTGAAAGTGGCAGACTTTTCAGCGGGACTCGTTTCCCTGCGGAATTCGCGTGACTCAATAAACCGCCAGGTGAGGAGTCTGAAGAAGCAGGTGCTCCACTCTTGCAATTCCGAAAAACACATTCCATTCGACCTTTCTCCTCACAAATATGCCAAGACTGAATTCCTTCACAAAACAAACCCCAGCAACAAAAAAATGCACTGCATATTATATTCAGAGGATACGATAACTCATCCACGATTATATGAACACAACGCATTTATTTTCTCGCAAAATGGATCATTTTATGGACAGAATCGAAAAAATTGAAGGAATGCCTAATATAACTTGATTTAATTTCTAAATTTTAAGATTTATCGTAGGCTGAGAAAATCAGAATTGCTAATTTGAAAAATTGTAAAAAAAAACGAAGAAATGAAAGGACGACGAAAACTTTCGCAAAACCAGAGTGCAGCAGAAAATCAGAATTGCTAATTTGAAAAAATTGTAAAATAAAAACGCAGAAATATAAGCACGAAAGAAAATTTTCGCAAAAGAGTGCAGTCATCTACACAATTAAAAATAATAATATTTAAAAATTAGTCAACCTCATTTAAATCAACGAATTTCACTTAACCTATCCACGAAAGGTTCTTTTCTGAACGTATATCTTATTCTAAATTTCATACTCGTAAATTTAATTCAAGCGTACTCAGTTTCACGAATTCCCTCGACTGCATCAATCAAGCTTTCAAAAGTTTTATTATTCACTAATTAAATACTTTTTTTTTTCAAAGACAGTAATAAAATACAGTACAAGTATTACACCGGAATAAATGCAGGTGAGCTTTTCAAATTTTCATCCGACCAATCATTCATGATTAATGGCATAATAGTCCAAACGATTGAAAATATCAATCCTAACTTAAATCACTGTATTTTTATTTTTTGGTTTTGCTGTAGAAAACTGACTGGTGATTAAACTTTTAAAATAGAGTATCCGATGAAAGTAAATCGAATTGCGTCAGGCATAATTTCATGGTCGCTCCGACAGTACAGTACTTCACAAGGGCAATTTCAGTCTTCATGAAATTACTATTCTTATAGCCATCAAAATAATAATATTTAAAAATTAGTCAACCTCATTTAAATCAACGAATTTCACTTAACCTATCCACGAAAGGTTCTTTTCTGAACGTATATCTTATTCTAAATTTCATACTCGTAAATTTAATTCAAGCGTACTCAGTTTCACGAATTCCCTCGACTGCATCAATCAAGCTTTCAAAAGTTTTATTATTCACTAATTAAATACATTTTTTTTTCAAAGACAGTAATAAAATACTGTATAAGTATTACACCGGAATAAATGCAGGTGAGCTTTTCAAATTTTCATCCGACCAATCATTCATTGTTAATGGCATAATAGTCTAAACGATTGAAAATATCAATCCTAACTTAAATCACTGTATTTTTATTTTTTGGTTTTGCTGTAGAAAACTGACTGGTGATTAAACTTTTTAAATAGAGTATCCGATGAAAGTAAATCGAATTGCGTCAGGCATAATTTCATGGTCGCTCCGACAGTACAGTACTTCACAAGGGCAATTTCAGTCTTCATGAAATTACTATTCTTATAGCCATCAAAAATATTATCAATCTAGCGTGAAATTTCAAGCGTTCATGTTCTTCTTGCTTTAATATAAAATTATCAACCAGCAAAAAATTCAAGCATCGGCTGTGAAGAGTCAAAAAATAATTGGAACCGCAGTCAAACCTCTAGGTTTGACCAACGATTACTTTCGTCATGGTCCCAAATATCAAAGGTGAAGGAAGTTGGACATTCAGCGATTTTTCCTTGATATCCATATCGCGAATAATATTTCGGTAATTTTTAAAAAAAATTTTGGCAATCGCTACGAGTTTTCGCGAGCAGAAGTACGAGTAAAAAAATGAAATAAAACTTTGCCTTGTCAAGTCAGCCGAAACGTCATGTTTACGCTCGCTTAAAAATACACCCTAAACCCGCTCGGATTTCGCTGAGAGACTGAAAGCATGTGAAAAATAAACGTGATGAAAATGCAAAAGAAAACTGGGACGATGACACGTGCATAGGAATAAAATACTAAACTCCTCGAGCTGTGAAATATTCCACGCGGTCCCGAGTTTCGACGAAAAGGAGTTCTTTTTACGTGGTCTTTGAAGGGAAAAAAGAAACCAGGTCGTCCACATTGTCTGTACCTCCTAAACCTGTCTTTACTTTACCACTCCTTTAAAAGTCTATTAATTGTAGTCTGACGAACCAAATTGCAATTAAATCAGCGTTATTTTCGCCACCATTTTTCTATAATCACGGATTAAAAAAAAATTTTCGCAAAAGCTCATGAAGTAAAAATGCATAATCGAGACGCAGGAATAATTAGAAAAATATTTACAACGCGTAAAAATGTCAGATTCTTTCTTTCTGAATAATGTACAGTGTAGTACATGTATTGTAATTTGGAACTTGCTGGCAAATGCAACTCGATGATTTAAATTTTAGGAAAATTCGAGGAAAATTACGTCCCTCCTAAAAAAAATCCCTACGAAGTGGACTGAATACTTCTGAATTAAATTCTCAAATTAATTTTCCCAAAATACATCTGTTGTCAAAAATCTTCAAGATAATTCTGAAAATATAAAATTAATTTATCCGTGAAGAAAATCATTAAATGTGGAATAATACAGGCCATCAAAGTCATCGAGCTGCGCATGTTGTGAAAACATTAATTCAGCAATAATATTAGCTACTTAAAGATGGAAAATATATATATATTTTAATAAATAAGTTACTCGGATATTTCTTCTGAATGTTTATATCGACTTTTCAGAAATTATGCACGAAGAACTTTCCTATGCTGCATACAAGTATTCAAATTTCTCGAGTCTTGTACTTGTCGCGAAATGACAAATCAAATAAGGAAAAAGCGGTACCAATGAAAATGGACGCTTCTTTTAATATGTTTTTTTGTTTGTTTGGAAAAATGGATTATTCGCTTTCTTGCTAGCATGAACAGCTATTTTTTTCTGCGAAAAATCGAAGTTGCCGCGGGGAAATTTAATTATCAGGTGACAGCGGAAATTTCTGAAACTTATTCACCTTATCCCGATTTTTTTGATTTTATTGAACCATGCTTTTTCCGGAGGATTTTCAGGCATTACAATTTTTGAAGAGCTGATGAAAGAAATTTATTCGTTGGTTTTTGAGGAAATTTCCCGCGGTGATTCGAATAGGATAATAAATGCGTATATTGTACCTACACATTATTCAGTTACGGTATTTCTCAAGGTTTCAGAACCAATCGTCCATTTTTTTAAAGCTTCAAATCACTCGTTTTATGAGACAAAAACGAGTCTTCAATAACGGACCACCCATTGAAATATACGAGTCCGTTAACCGAGGTATCGCCACGTCTTGAAAAAAAAATCCAGAGACGCCTTAAATAATACTCGCATAGGTTTTTTCACACAAATATATTTTAACCCCAGGAAAAGTACTTGTGGGGACTAGCTATTCAGTAGTCCAGGGATATTTGTCAGGTGTAGCTTCAGCTGTTCGCCCTGAAGCAGGAGCGCTATCCCTGTCTTTTGTTTACGCGACACTCATGACTGAAAAACCCAGGTTCATGAAGAAGTCATGAATTTTTGCCTGGAATTTTTACGACTAAAATACCTTCATCGACGCCCACATGTCGGCTGGGAATTCCCGCGGTGCGTGGATTTTATCCCGTGGCGTCGGCCAAAAATCTGAATAATGATTGAAAAGCATAGTGCACTACAAAAAGAGTTCCACGAATAACGAAGTACTCGCACAACGAAACTTTCGCTCCACGAAATGTTTTGGGCAGGAAATTTGAAAAAAAGGGACTCACTCGAGGAAACAAAAATTGCGTGAGGAATTTTTTCGTTGAAAAAGTCGGGGCACTTGGAAATACAATGGGGCCCCGACATGCGGACGCACCGACGATCTCGAGATACAGACACTTGAAACATATCTAGACAGCCTGAACATTTTTCTATTTTTCAAGATGTTGATGCTTCTTGAGTCTCGAACAAATTGAGCTTTCACAGATCTTGAAAATAAATTTCGTTATACAGTACTTTCAGTATAATTTATAATCCAAAAAAGGGTAATTTTGGAATTAATTTCTTGGAATTAATTTATTAATTCCCCGTAATTTCTTTTTCCCCATAATCTTTGTACAGTATAGAAGGACTTGTGCTTTTTATTCGCTTTTTGGGCTCCTTTTAAGGAAAATAATATTATTAGTAATAATTAATATAATTATTATTAGTTTTCTTCCGCACAGATATTTTTTCAACATCTTAAGTTGAAGGAAATGTATTTTTTAAAATTTCTGGGATACTATTTCCAAGCTTTTGAATAGGAGAACCACTGGAATATACTACAATATATTTCCCATTAATGCCTAAAAGGGAAAACGTGATCCAGCATGTGAACATTTTTCAAATACTCAGTAGGCTAAAAAACACTTTGAATTCCAAGATTTACTGAAAATCGAATAGCTCCAGCATTCATAAGTGTTTTAACTTTTAGCACGCGCTCCAAAGTACTAAGAAGGCTAAAAAGTCTCTTTTTTTTGTCAGCAGCTCCTATCTTTTGTTTAGGTTAGAGCTCAAAAATATTTAACTATTTTCACGCTGTATAAAATATTTTGAGAATAAAAATTAAAGAGCTGTACAAAGATTCTGAAAATCGTTGTGTACCAACTTCATGTTTTTATTTCCCCGCTGAATTTTGTAAATGGAAAAAATATCCTCATCACCACTCAGAATATTCGTGCTCAAGTTTCTTTGAAAATAAAATAAAATTTCAAAATTCACGTTTTTCTGCGCCATTTGGTGGATGCTAGACAAATCTTTCTCGAGTTTTAGTGAATCATATCTCAAGTTTTAAATTTTCTAGAAAAAATTAACCAAACTCTTCAGTAAAATTGAAATTCTTAATTATGTTTCATGGTTTTTTCAATCGCCGTCTACACTTTCTAGTTGCTAGAAACCACAACGAATATCGAATGTGCCTAGAAACATTCAGAATTGTGCGCAACAAAAGTTATAAAACTATAGATCCAGCAGTTGAATAAAAAC